GGTGGAATGTCAAGATCACAGGGGAATGGGCTCTGATAGTAGTAGGCTGGATGAGAGTTGCAGAAGCATGATTTTCCCAAGAGATTGGTTGGTGAAGTCTCGAAAGTGGTCCTGTTGAGTGACTTGGGAGGTAAAAGCTGGTCTTGAGGCTGCCACAGCATCACTTGTGTAATTTTGCTGCTTTTCTAGGCCTGGAGCTGAAATACAACTGAGATATAGATGTTACTTTTAGGGGGGAAAAGAGTAGGGGTCTCAGTTGCCTCACTAGTGATATGAAAGGGGAGAGTAGGTTACCCTGGGGATGAGGTTCTTGTTTTCCCAGTTTTGTCCCTTGCTGGGCATCCACAGGTTTCTTGTAGGTCCTGAGACAGGATTTCAAAATAGGTAGAGCAGTGGTTAAGTCCCTATGGCTAAGTGCCAACCCCTGCTGTAATGCCCAGGGTTATTAGGAGAGGGATTATCTGGACTCCTCTTTTGTGTCAGATATGATGGGTTACAGGGGCAGGTAAAGACTGATTATTGGGGGCTATATCTATATTGGGTGAAAGATGAGAGTACAGATTCCTGTCCAGCTGATGGGGAGACAGATTTATGTGTTTTTCCCACAGAGGAAGAAAAATCCCTGATCATGGAGACAAGCTGATAGGTGTAAGGAGAAGAGGTGGACTAAAGGGTATGAGGTTCCTTTTTCTAGTTCTGCACTCCAAGCTGAGAGGGTAGTCACCATGGCACTGCCAATAAGGGGTGACAGATGAGTGGTTGAGATTTTATTGCAGTGAAAGTGGTGGGTAATGCTAGAATGGGCTGTTATCCAAGGGCAAAGAGAAAAGGAAGGAAAGGAGCAGCTGAGGCCAGGGGCCAGGATGGTTGGATAAGAAGTAAGACACTGCACTCAGACCAGCCAAATTTAGTACTTTAAATGTCCTGAGGTGATAATCTGCCACTCGCTGGCTTACCTTCTTATTTTTACTGAACCCTAATCCTTGCTGTTTTTACTTTTAAACCTTAAATTGCTGCACTAAAGACTTTTACTTTCTCTCAAGCAGAGCAACCATCTTAGTTGCTGTCCAGGAAAATAGGTAGGAGAGAAACATGTTGGCCAATACTGCAATGCATACATCTCAAGTAAAAATAACTTTCTTTTTACTTGCAAGGGGCCCAGTGCACGAAATTCGTGCACTGGGTGTGTGTGTGTGCGGGGGGGGGGGGGGCA